CAATTTATTTATTTATTTATTGAGACAGTGTCATGCTCTGTAGCCCAGACTGGCCTCAAACTTGGTTCTATCTCCCTGCGTCAGCCTCTCAAGTGCTGGAATTACAGGTGTGCACCACCATGCCCGGCCAGCCTTGGCAATTTAGTTAGACCCTGGTTCAAAATAGAAAATAAAAAGGGGTTTCGGGTGTGGATTAGTGGCAGAACTAATCCTGGGTTTGACCCTCAGTAACACAAAACAAAGAAACAAAGAACTGCTGGATTTGTGTTTGCCTAACTGAGCCTCTCCATTACACTAACCTTGAAACCTGTCTTTCCTCTGGATTTCCAGCTGTGTACTCTGAAGTTGCCATTTTGTTGTTGTTCTTGTTTAAATGAGTTAGGTTTCTGTGACTTGCAACCAAAAACATTTTCTTTTCTACTATGAGAAACTTTAGTATTGCTTATGAAAAATATTTCTTAAGTTCAAGCTGTTCCCTAGGCTTTTAAATCAAAACCAGATAATCCACGAGTGAAAAATATATACTTTTGGGTGAAGCCTTTTCATCACAGAGCCAGTCTGGCATCTTGACATGGGGGCCAGTATTACTACAGTTGCATGTCACTTAGTGAAGGGCACATGTTCTGAGAAGTGTGTTGTTGCACAATTTACTGCTGTGCAAACATCAGTGCACTTGCACTAGCTCAAGTGAGAAGAAAAGCTCTGCAACAACAGTCCTAACACACTGTCATTAGATGTGATTATGGACAAGAGCAGCAAGGAAGCTCTCCTAACTAAAATAATTACCACCATAGTCCATGTCAGTCTCTAGGTCTCCCCTCACACACACCTTTGTGTACTAGAATACACCAGATAGTTTTCTGAAGGTTTTTAGCAAAGCCCACTGGTAGGGTAACATTCATTTTGGTAACTGACTTCATTATGCACCTTAATTTTCACAAGAATTTAACAAGATTCAGAACATGACCCTGCTTTTTACCTTAAAAAAAAAGTCCCCAGACTAGAACTTCCACAATTCTTTGAACTCCTCGCCCTAAAATTTTTCTCTATCTACTCTCATTCTCTCTCTCTCTTTTTTTTTTTTCTGAGATGGTCTAACTATGTACCCCAGGCTGGCCTTGAACTCGTGGCAATCCTGCCTCATCCTTCTGAGTGCTGCAATGGTTAGGATTACAGGCATACCCCATGATGCTTGGCCTTATTCTTGATCCATTGTTTCTTGTCAGAGTGGAAGAGATACCCTGTCTTTTCTAAAATTAATCTCCCATTAGTAACATTATATCGACACATAACTGCAATTTACTATGCAGCAAAAATGATTCAAGAAGAAAATAATGTTCTGTGTCTGTTTACCTTTCTATAACTAATAGCTTATGTTACTCTACTTTTTTTTTTTTTGAGACAGGGTCTCCCTATGTAGTTCAGGTTGGCCTTGAACTTATAATGTAGTTCAGGCTGGCAGTGACTCTCCTGCTTCAGCCTCCTGAGTGCTGAGATCACAGACTTGTACCACCATGCCTACCTATTAGTGTACTTTTTTAACATTTGCGCTTGGGTAAATGCTTATGTATGTATAGGAATGTCACAACGCAGGATGCTACTAGTTCAGGCACAAAGTATTAAAATTATTTTGTAAAAAAAAAAGTTGCTGGCACACGCTGTGATCACAGCCCTCAGGAGGCTGAGGCAGGAGGATTGCTGTGAGTTTGAGACCAACCTGGGCTACATAGTGAGTTCAAGGCCAGCCTGAACTACACAGTGAGACCATCTCAAAAAATAAATTTAAAAAAGTTGATTCCCATACTTTCTTTTCAGATCCAGACTCCATCAATGTCCTTTTTTTTTTTTTTTTGATACCTTGGATTGAACTCAGTATCTTGCATTTCCCAGGCAGACGTGGAACCACTGAGCTACATCCCTGGCCCAACAATGCCCTCTGTAAGACCATGTATTTACCCATTTCATCTCCACAAGCTCTTTCCCATATGCATTTAAATATACCCCAGTCTTTGCCTTCTTAAAAAAAATACAGGGCCAGGGATGTAGCTTAGTGGTTCTGTCGCCTGCCTCGCAAGCGCAAGAACCCATGTTCAATCCCTGGTACCAAAAAAAAAAGAAAAATAAATAAAAATACAAAAACTCTTTTTTCGGGTCGGGGATTTAGCTCAGTGGTTTCGCCGCCTGCTGTGCAAGCACAAGGACCCAAGTTCCATCCCCGGTACCAAAAAACCCCCTTTTTTTGGTCCTATGGGTTTTTTTTTTAACCTATGTATATTTTAAAAATATTATGTTACCTTCTTCCTTCACAGCCACATTTTTTTTGTTAAAAAAGGAAACTATCTGCTTCCAATTTAAATACCCAGTTATAATAACTAGAGAAATTAAAACTGATCTTGCAAATTTAGCATTTGAACAAACTTGTACTTAAAAACCTGACTACAGGTTCAAGCCATCATTAAGAACATAAGCTAAATAAAAAACAAATCAATTAAATACACAAATGACTAGTGCCAAACTGGGGAACTAATTAAGATCCAGATCTTTAGTGAACGTTTGGAGAATGCTGGGAACATAAATCTCCCTATGTCTGCTGTATAGTTCCTTAAAGGCTGCCTGAATTGGCTGCTTAAACACTACTGCAAGATCTTGAGGTGTGCCCCACCATCCCATACAGCTGCCCAGATATGCTAGTGGTCAGCCTGGCCAGTAACCACTTTCTCCTGCCCTACTTCCCAGAGGGAGGGAAGACAGTGGCCTGTGTGAGGGGCTGATATGAGAATCGTTCAACTAATGACTTCCCAACATGGGAGGCAAAAAACTTCAAGAATGAATTTTGCTCTCATCTTCAGCATGTCGTTCAATGTGTCCTGCAGCATCCTGCTTGGATCCTTTCCTAGCCGTGAAAAAAGCATCACAGTTCTTCCAGCGACACTTCAGAGTCTGAAAGTTTGGATTAGTATGGTCAGTCAGCAAGTGTTGTTTCAAGTGATCTACAGCACCAAATATCAGAGAGCAACCATGCCACCAACAGCGGTAATTCTGCATCAGATTTAGTCTCGCAGCCTGAATACTGCCATCATAACAGCCAGTGTAAATCATGCTTTTGTGGATGGTCATACACATAATCATGTCTTTGTGTCCTCCATAAACTTGCAGTCGATCATGAGACTGTAATTCATAGACACGAACAAATTTATCCAGGCAAGCAGTCACCATCACTTTTCCTAGGATGTTCACCACGGTCACTGCATGGTTGTGACCTTTATAGATCCGCACAAGCTCACCAGTGTGAATGTTGTGAGCATGGACGGACTGGTCACTTGAGCCGCTGAACACGAGGTCATTCACCATCTTCATGCCCAGAATGGTCTTGGTATGGCTCTCCAGAGTTCGGAGGAGCAGTCCGTTCCAGGCACCCCGCACACTAATGGTGCAGTCATAAGATCCCACGACCAGCAGCTTTCGGGAACCTTCTTGGGCTGTGGCAAGACAGCTGACAGCCCTTGCCCCATGGCATTCAAAGGTCTCGAGGTGTTTGTTGCTCTTTGCATTGAAGGTGACCACAGTGCCATTTGCCAGTCCTACATACAGGATTCGCCATCGACTGTAGAGGCAGAGAACCCGGTCTTCCAGCTTTAACTTCTCTATGCACGTGCGGGTTTTAACATTGTAGCAGCGAATGGTGGGATCACTGGAACCTGTGTAGAGCGCAGCATTCTTCTCAGAGGCCTGAGTGACCAGCAGACAGTTCACTTTGGAAGTATGGCCCTCAAAGATGCCAATGCATTTCCCGCTCACCAGGTTATACGCTTGGACAGTTTTATCTCCCGAACAGGTATATAGTAAGTTTCCAAATATCTGAATTGCATTCACTGCAGCTTGGTGCCCTTCAAAGCTTCCTTCTGTGGGTTCATCATCATCTCCTGGCTCTGAAGATATTTCTGAGGAGTTTTTGGAGCCTTTTAGGGAACAGATCACAGTCTGAGCTTCTGCCACACTTACAGGGTTCACAGCCAAATTTAAGGAATTATCTATACATGTGGTCTTCGCTTCCTATTTCCTAGTATTCTATCAGCCTGTTACAATCTTTCCAACAAAGTAACATGGACCAAAATTCTGCTTCAGTTTCTTCATCAAGAAATAGTGATAATTACTGTACTTACCTCATAGGACTGTGAAGATTAACTCTGCTATTATGTATAAAGTACTTAAAACAGAGCCTGACCCATACTGAGCACTATGTGTTAACTATTATTATAATAATTAATTCTTAATGACACAGCTGCAACAGTTGAAGATAAGAGAAAGAATTGGAAGACTGCCATTCTCACCATTTTGCCCAAGAAAATAACAGATACAGCTGCTGGAAAGTGAGTTTTAGGAGCAGCTCCGGTAAATGACATCATGGATTGTAAACTCCATTCAGACTTGTCTCCTGTATTTAGTCCCAGGTCTGATCTACGGTATATACTCTATACACACACGTATAATTCTACAATATTATACATTGTATTTACATTAGATATATAAAATATAAATATAGCCGAGAGTAATAGAACTCATTTACCCTCAAAAAGAACTTGGTAAGGGC